AATTAATTATTATAATTGTCGTTGTGTTGTCGTCATGCTTTTCTTTAATAAAATTAGCAGTTATGTATGCAATTTAAATAAATAAAAATAAAATAAAATATTTATTATATATTATATGTCACTTAGTAAGAATTTTATTTCTTAAATTTAAGGTTCAAGATTTCAATTTCATTCCTCTCATTTATCTAATTTTTTTTGTTTTATCCAAAAAAAAATAAAGAATATGTACCATAAAGAGAAGCAAGCAAAGGTTGTCCAAGCCTTTGCTTAACATGATAATATAAATATTTGGAGTTGGTTATTAATGGCGCTTATTAGGGGTGTTTAACAATATAATTTAACACTTAAAATTGAATTGATTAAATGATAATGAATTAAGGCTGTTTGATAACCACAATTGATATTACTTAAAAATTTAAGTACCTCTTAAAATGTAAGCTAAAACTTAAGTAAATTTTAAGTCATATCAAACTTACACTACAAGGATTTACACATTTGGCGACCACTTTTGCCGACCAAAAAAATTTTGGTCGCAAAAAAATGGCATTTGGCGACCAAATATTAATTAGTCACGAATGATCATTATTTTTGGCGACCAAATATTATTGCTCGCAAAAGAATATATTTTGGCGACCAAAAAATAAATTGGTCGCAGAAAGTGGTATGCTTTTGCCGACCAACTATAAATTTGGTCGCGAAAGGTCACATTTTTTTTGGTGACCAAAATTTTGATCGCCAAAAACTTATTTTCAGCAACCAAAAAAAATTAGTCGCCAAATTAGCACTTTTAGCGACTAATATTTTAGTCGCCGTTGATTGAGATTTGGCAACTAAAAAAATTTGTCGGCAAAGGGTACATTTTTCTGCGACTAATCTGGTATTTTGGTGGCCAAAAATTTGGGAGGAAATTTTGAAACGTGGGCGGGAATTGAAATTTTTTATCTTTAGAATCTGTTAGCTCACACTTTCTCATTTTCTCCTCTTTCATCTCTCTTTGAAATAGGTGCGAGACAAGCGAACAAACAACACCGAACCACTCTCTCACTCTCGTCTTTGCGTTCGATTCGAACCCTAGGCACATTGAATCAATCATTCGGAGTCTCTCTTGGATCTACATGGTGATCACCTCCCCCTTTCTCTTCTCTCACGCCTCACGCCTCACGCCTCTGTGTCTCTTCTCTCTCACGCCTCACGCTGCCCTCCTCTCTGTTACTGGAGCATCACCGCAAGGGTGAGACGAGCACACCGTAAGGGTTAGCACTACCATCGCTTTGTCTCGGGTAGGTATGTCCTTTATTTCACCCTCTCTCTCTTTCTCTCTGTGTGTGTGGGTGTGTGTCTCTGTCTTCCTCTCTATGTCTCCTTCGATTTGGGGCTAATTATTTTCTTCATTTTGCTCACTATTTGAAGAAAATTAAAGAAAATTAAAGAAAATCAGAGAAGAACTTGAATGTATTTGCAATCTGATGCTTGAATGGATAATGATGCTTGACCGAAGCATGAACTCTTAGATATTGCATCTCGTCTGTAGCATATAGTTAGTTATATTCAGTAATGGCAATGTAGAGATTTGGAACAATACAGGCCAAACATCAAGTTTTTTTTTGACCTTTGATAATGATCCTTTTGATATGTTTCCTCATTCTCACACATATTGGGTTATCCACTGGTTCATTGGTCCAAATTTTGGTCAAATACTGTGACAATTTGTTGAATTGATTAAGTTCATTTTTCTTTTTAGTTAATGAAATCTTAGTTTCAAATTCACACCAATTCAGGGTATCCGAATTCAAGGCTTGAGGGTTTTGATTAAGAATTGGATTAAGGTTCAAACCAGGTTCTAAAATTGGAGCTAAAGCTCATTTACTGTGTCAACTTTTCCCCTTCCTCTTGTACTTTACCAAGAAGGGGAAAAAATTTAGAAAGAAGAGAGAATTGTTTTGTACTATGCCTTGTTACTCATGCCTTGTGTTTGTCTTTGTTTATATGTTTAGAAGAGAGAATTATTTCAAGATTTGGATCCACTGTTGTCGAACACTTTGGTACTATCACTGCCCTCTTGCAGGTATGCTTTATATTGTTCATAATAATATTTTGTAATCAGTTTTTTGCCCCATAATTGATGTTTGCTGCAGTGTTCTTCATTAATCACTGGCTAATCTGCTTCTCAAAGAACCTACCTTAATTTTCTTAGGGTATGTAGATTGTTGTTTAGCACTCTGTCTCGAAGACTTGAAGTCCCTCAGTGGCCTTACTATGCGAAATTTGAATCTCTATGTTCTTATAAGTTATAAGTACTCATCAAACATCTTTCTCTAGCTATATTTGTATTGTGTTTTCTCGGTCATTGTTGTCTTCTCTTGATTCACAGAATTAATTCATTCTTTGTGTTTCATTAGTGATGACAATATTAAAAGTAGCTGTCAATTAATGTGTTTCATTAGTGTTGGCAATTTAAAAAATATCTGTGAATTTCTGTATGTGTTTACTTTTTTCATGTAATGCAGTTATGTGAGGGAAACATCGGGACCTTGGAGGAATGGACTGTGGAGATGATCAAGCTGCAGTGCTAAACCCTGGGAACAAACCATTAACACAGATTACTGAAGATGATTCATTTAGAGAATTTGAATTCAGACAGTATCTTTTTCCCTGCCAAGCAAAGGTGTGCAAGACAAAGAAGTAGGATTAACTTAGGTTGGTTTTAGATAATAACAGGAGAAGTTATACATAATGGAAAATTATGTTTTTTATTTCATACCAGAAGTTATTGCATTATTTGTTTTCCTCAATCATGTTCAATTTATGGCATGTAAAATTTTTCGTTGCGTTGAGTCTTTCATTTATCAGTAACACTTATATTATTCTTCTTGCATATTGGAAATTGGGATGCACTGCTTGAACTTGCTTTAGTACGTGCTCAGTATATCATAGTTAACTTAATTCTACATTTTATTGTTAAACTTCATTTGTAATATCTATACTAATTGCCTCACTGGAGCCATACTTTCTTAAGTTTTCTACAGTGCTTGTTATATTTGTCAAAACTTTAAATATTTTGTCTCGCCACATTTCAAGAGTACTTGGTTTTCTGCAATTGTGTTTTAACTTTGCTGCAATTATACATCTCAATTTTGCAGCTGTTATTCAAGTTGAATCGTCCCTTTCAGGTTGCATGAAGGGGCTATTCATTTATTATCGGCTTTTCAAAGGCATTGGCACTGCATGAGGTATTTGACATGTTGTTCAATGTTCACTCACAGTAATAATAGTACTTTTTTTAAGCTATTATTGAAACATTTTTTATTCTTATCCTTTTTACCTCTCTTTTCTTGGTGTTCTTTTCAGAGTATGTTACCCTTCTGTATGCGTGAAGTTTGGGTGATAATTGCTTGCTTGGCTTTAATCAATACAACTGCTTCTCATTATAGTGATGGACAAGTGGCACCTGATATAGAAAATGAGTTTTATCACCTTCAAGGTGATCTTTATTCACTATGCTGGATTAAGGTAAAGTTTACACGCATTGCAAGTGACTTCCAAACTCCATATACTTAGTGTGATATAGTGCAGTGTTTGCATACTATACTATGTAACTTGGTGAGTGGAAGTAATCAATATTTGTTATTTCAACCGAGAATGGAGTTTGAGGGAAAAAATAGTTGTCCAGGCATGTTTTTTGCTGACATATAGATGCGATGATATGTTTCATTCTATTTTTATTTCTCAATGGTTTCCCTGTGACAATTAACAAGCATTTTTTTTATTAAGAAAAAAAAGAATAGCCATGCATTTGTTCACTTGTTTCTACAAATTTAATACCAAAATTATTGCTTATTGCAATGTAATTCCCCATGTTGCAGTTCATGAGGCTTGCATATTTAATTGGTTATGGATCAGATATAGAAAGAAGTCCTGTCAACAGGTAGAAACACAACTTTTTAGCATACCAATCCTATTTGAAAGTAGTAGTCAGCATTGCCAAAGAGTTCCTTTGATGTTGCATTGTGGTCCTCCAACTCTCTCTCTAATATATTTTTCTTTTGTGCAGTGCTTCACTCAGCATGATACCTTGGCCTAAGCCCACAGTTTGGCCTTTAGTTCCACCTGATGCTTCATCTGAGGTGTTTGAGAAGGAAAAGGTGAGGTTTTTAATTTGGTATTATTGACATGTAACTAGGAAAAGGCTTGTAAATTTGAGCACTGATATAAATTAAATAAACCAACCTTCTACTGGTTATTTCGAGGATACTTCAATTGATACTCTGCTTTTTTTGTTATAAGTGATTCAACTGGTTTGCTGGTTGTTTAGAATGAGTCTTAACTGAAGTCAAATAAAGTTAATTACATTTTAGGATGAAAGAAAATTTAATTCATAACTCAAAAATCATTTGATGGCTCAGTATGATGGCCTCAGTGACATCCTAACAAAGCGGCCAATTTTAATTGGGCCAGAACTGAAAGCTACTCTGGAAAACATGATCTGATTTTTTACTTTCTTTGTAAAAATTAGTTTTTTCAATAATGCCTCCTGTGCGCTGAAGAGCTTCATCATCAACATCTTTACTCTGGATTATTGGAAGAAATAACTGAACAACTGTGGGATAGTCAAATTTATTGTTGTCGCAGTTCAATTACATACATTAGTCACCAATATGGATCTTAGATGATATCTGGAGCTGGAGGATTGTAAGGACCAGGTTGTCAAAAAACAAAAAAAAAAAACAAAAATCAGTTTTTGGAAATTTGTACTACTTACCTGAGCGGTAATGTGGCTCAAGTTGAGGGTTAGGATTAAATGTTTCACTAAAATAGACTATGTCTTTGTGGGCAATTTTTCTGAGACACAACATGCCCTTCCTCACCTCAGTTAACATGTCAATAATGCGGTTTAAGTAATCCTTCTCAAAATTATCGTAATTATAGTTGTTACTGATCCTAATTTCATTCTCATTGAAAAATGTTAGTGTTTATGTATTCCTTAAATCCATGCAGATGAT